CTTCCAACACAACCCACCTATTTGCTTGGACATATGTGAAAGCAGATTTTCCATTGACGTAGAAGCTGAAGCTATTGTAATCTTGCAGGGAGAGGGCATTATCCATCACCACGCCATTTGCGTCCATCGTAGCGTACGATATTGGACAACCATAGTTCTTGGTGTCTGTCGTCTTCATCCAAAATGCGATTGTAAACTCATATAAATCTGGGATGTCACGCAATTTGCAATAATTACTCACGCTTGCCGTGGGAAACCTCAAATCATAAAATGTTGGCAGTTCTGCAAGAGAAACAAAATGATATAAAGTAATACAAAAATCCTTTTCCTTAAAAAAAAAAAAAAAAAAAAGAATTGTTTAAAAGAGAAGTTTACAAATTTAAATTAATTTTAAAACTGATTTAGTACACTCAGTTGCTTAATTTCCCATTTCTGAAATCACGAGTCACTTGTTGGAGATCTGGTTAAATCAAGGACATATCACTCTTACCAGGATAGGAAGCTGGCTGGTTTAGGATATGGTAAAACAAAGGAAAGGCGTATTAAAATAAAATATTGGCGTTTGTAAGCAATACATTTTAATTTTATATAGTAGTAAGTATATGAATAATTTTAATGCACTAGTTAGTTGATAACTTCATTCTAATTTGTTTTGGGTCTTTTTTCTGCATTTTTATAAATGGTTAGACATGGCCTAGGCTAGCCTATGTGATGTTAATTTAATAATACAAAACAAAATCACATCAATATATATCAATGTATTTGTGAACATACTTGCCTTATATCTTAACTAGCAGGTGATTTTATTGGTAGATTAGTTTGCTTTTAAGTGTGTAAGTATGATTGATTTGCATGCCAAGTGAAATTAGTACCCTTATTTTGCTTTGTTTTACCGTACCGTAATTCTCGGCTAGGCCTAGCTGTACATCAAGCCGATACGCAGTGCGGGCCACAGTGTGGCTAAGGAAAGTTTTGTTTTTCTGAGCATGTGCAGAATGTGCTTATCTGGCTCATTAGCATAACAATACCACACCATAAGGCTAATTCCAGTTAGACGGCTTAAACCAGCCAGCTTCCTATCCTGGTAACAGTTATAAGTCCTTGGTGAAATGAGCCTTCATAACATATCTAATTTCATTTTCATAGTGATACCACATGGCACTGAGTTGCGGGAGATTTGTGACCTGAGCTAACATACATTTTGTCAAATACATCTTTGATGATATTATTATACTATCTGCCTACATAATCAGAAAAATTTGTAACATTTGACAACTAAAACTTGCAATTAAATTGTTATAATTTGTTTAGGTTGGTTGCTAAGTAAGGGTTCACAGTACGTGAAGTCATGGGCGAGCTGTGCAACAGCTGTGCAGAACTGAAGTATGGAACTGGGTTTATAAGTTGTACTAATAATGACATTTCAACTTTAATTGCTCCAGCCGAAACACAAGGAGAGAGCAGCAGTGGGAACTGAACCGGGGACCTAGAGATCACCACAGTTCAGCGCACACAAAGTGGCTACCACCAGCTTAGTCGACTGAGCTAAGCTGCCGTCTATATGTTCCGACAGGTATACATATTATTATTATTATTAGTTCAGTTATTCTAAAACTATCTAGTGCCAAAAACGTTCATTTACAATATGGCAATCAAATTGTCTAAAATATTAATATTAAATGATTTTCATTTACCCCTTTCACAGAATGTTCCGGAATAACCAGTAACACAATGACATGAAAACTGGTTAATTCCATCTTGACAAGTGCCTTCGTTTTGACAGACAACGTTTTGAGTGACACATTCATCAACATTGACTTCACATTCCTCGCCACTGAATCCAGCTTGGCAGGTACACCGAAAAGATCCAACTGTATTCTGGCATGTTCCATTATTTTGACAGGGAGTTGATTCGCATTCATTTTTATCTGTTTCACAAAGTTGTCCTGTGTAGCCTGGGGTACAGTAGCATGCATAACTCTAAAAAATAATTAAATGTTGTAAATTATTATTATTATTATACTATTTTGATTATTATTTTAGTTGACATCCACTTCATTTCAAAAATGATAATTGTAATAAAAATATTTATAACACATTACAACCTAAGTTGTGTTTTCCTAGCAAGGAACTGGTACCTGATACTCACTGCCTAAGGACCTGGTCAATGGTACTGACTGCCTATGGACCTGGTCAATGGTACTGACTGCCTATGGACCTGGTCCCTGGTACTGACTGCCTGTGGACCTGGTCAATGGTACTGACTGCCTATGGACCTGGTCCCTGGTACTGACCGCCTGTGAACCTGGTCAATGGTACTGACTGTCTATGGACCTGGTCAATGGTACTGACTGCCTATGGACCTGGTCAATGGTACTGACTGCTTGTGGACCTGGTCCCTGGTACTGACTGCCTATGGACATGGTCCCTGGTACTGACTACCTATGGACCTGGCTTCTGGTACTGACTGCCTGCTTAGTGTACAATCAACATTTAATTTTAAACTAGAATTTAAGCTGATTTTTAGCTTAATAAATCAGCCCCTGGTCTAGTCTAGTAATTGTTGCCTAGGATGTGGTTCCCAGTACTGATTGCCTGTGGTCCCTGGTAATGGATTTCTAAGACCTGGGCTCTGGCACTTACTACCTACAACCTGGTCCCTGGTACTGACTGCCTATGGAACTGGCTCCTGGTACTACCTGCCAAATACCTGGTAGCTAGTAATTGTTGCCTATGGCCTGGTCGCTGGCACTGACTGACTCTGGACCTAGATGCTGGTACTGGTTGCTTAGGACCTCGTCCCTAGTACTGTACTGGCAGTGCCTAAGATCTGCTCAATGGTACTGACTGCCTATTGACCTGGTTCCCTATACTGGTTGCATTGGACCTGAACCCTAATACTAGTCTGAGTTGGTTCCTGGTACTGGTTGCCTATGGAGTTGGTTCCTGGTACTGGTTGCCTAGGACCTGGTCCCTGGTACCTGTTATCCATAAATTGGTCTATTGTAATTGTTGCCTAGGATCTGGTTCCAGACATTGGTTGACTAGGACTTGGTTCCTTGCTACTGGTTGCCTAAGATGTGGTCCCATGGTACTTGATTTCTAAGACCTGGGCACTGGTACTTCCATCCTACGACCTGGTTCCTGGAGTTGACTGTCTAGAACAATTTATTTCGGTGTAATTGAAAAACCAAAATTAAGTAGCTTACATTCAATTGATCAATACATGTTGCTCCATTGGCGCAGTTATGTGAAATACAGTCGTTGATGTTGACAGCACAGTTTGTACCTGAATAGCCAATGGAACACACACAGATGAAGCCATTCAAACCGTCCACACATACTCCCCCGTTGAGACAAGAATCTACAGTGTTTAAACAAAATGTATTTGAAAATCACTGGTGAAAAAATGTATGCTACATACAGAGTTAAATCAATTAGTATAATAGACTCAACAGACATCGACATACACAAACATGATTTGTGTCTGATGTCTGAACATGTAATAAACAATTTAGACAAAATCTGATCAGATGCTAGTATGACAAACTCCTAGCTTTATAGCTAATAGTCACAAGGTACTGTAGCATTTGCTGCAAATTTCCCACAAATGAAATGTAAAGGAATTCTTCAGGGAGTATGATGAAGGTTCTTTCATGCACACACATTGGAAAACTACACAATCTTTAGTGATGTTGGTTGTCAATGAGTGAAATACCTGGATAAACCAAATAACACCAAACTCAATCAAGCGGGAACACCTCTCAAAAAATGACATTTTTAGCTCATGGCTTCTTTTAGACGCACTCATTTATGATACTCCAATACTTTCTTTTATTTTCACAAGTTAAGTTTTCTTGAAATAAACTACATTAGAATATTAAAAAATATGATATTCATATTCAAAAGTCAAAAGTATATAAAGGATCACCGACCTGGCCTACAATCATTGATGTCTCTTTGGCAATTAACGCCTTCAAAACCTTTTGCACATGTGCAATAGTAGCTATTAGTTGCATCAGAGCATGTTCCACCATTCTGACACGGATTACTCAGACACTCATTCACGTTTATTTCACATACATCGCCAAAAATTCCTGCGGGACAGGTACACGCAAATCCGTCTTCATTGTCGATGCATGTTCCGCCATTTCCACAAGGTGATAAAACCGTACAGATGTCAATATCTATAAAAAAAATATTATATGTTATATATAAGATTCTTTCATTTTATGAAACCTTAATGAAAAAAATCAGGATGTTTATATTTTTAACATGCATTAATACAGGTTTGAAAACTGTTGTATGCCCATATATGGTCATGACGTGCCTATATATGGTCATGATGTGATGTCATCATCACCATATTTAGGTATGTCGCATGTTTTTTTTTAAATATTTGATAGAATCTTGTTGAAATAATCAGGATGTTTATATTTTCAACATGAATTAATGCAGGCTTGAAAACTGTGCCAATATATAGTCATGACGTGATTATATATGGTCATGATGTGATGTCATCATGACCATATTTAGGCATGTCACATGTTTTTTTCAAATAACATTTGATAGACTGGACAGGGCTTTAGATACTTTCATTTATCAGGATATTTATATTTTCAGCATGCATTAATGCAGCCTCAGCATTATGAATCTTATAGGTTGTGGGAAAGTAGTTGTAATGATGAAACTGACCTATGCACTGATGCATGTATTTTGAGCCTTTGTCAGCAGTTGTGAATCCCTGTTGGCAAGATAGACACGACATCTGACCACTGCTTGGTTGGTAGCTTCCGTACGGACACGGCTCGCAGGGTTCATAACCCGTACGAGAGTAGGAACCTGCTTGGCAAGCCACTAAAAGGAAAGGATAACAAAACACAGAGAATTGTAAGATTGTATACAGACATATACCTGTATAGGTAGAGAGGTTGGATGGATTTGCTACAAGTTGAGACAAATCACCATACCCGGGTAAATACAGTGTTATCCTAAATATTTCATTGTTTTCACTGATATATAAATAACAAATACCTGAATGTTACCATACCTAATAACTATTAATTGGGTAATAACATTTCATCGGTCAATTCCAGTTGGTACTCGATACAATATTAGCAAAATTCTCTTTGCATGCTTTGCTGTATTTATACTAACACAGCAGAAAAAAAATTAATACCCAAAATTGACTGTTGCATATATCTGGCTGCATGAACCACATGCAATACTACATTTTTTAAACAAGTACTAATCTAAAATCTAAAGTGACGTTTGACTTTTATACTTTTAAGTGGGGAAAAAAATAAACCAATGTAAATAAATATTTATTAGGTATAATAATATAGCAAATTACACAAATCAGAAGTGAAGTTGTTGGTCTATGAGTACGATAATTTTTACCTGGGTGAACCGATATATGCCCGTTTCCTTTAATAGGAAGTTACCTTGAAAATAATGTCTGTCTGACTGAGGCAAATATAATGCAAAAATGTTAACAGGTTTCTTTCATTCATTTTCGGTTCACTCAGGCAAATATTCAGGAAACAGACACATCATAGTTAAATTTTATCGCATTGTAACGTAGCCTAGCGCTTCTTATAAAAAGTGTGGGAAACAAAAGCAAAGAAACGAATATCTGACGAACCTGTGCAATCTGAGCTAGACACTGCTCCTACTGTCCACGTTGTTAAGTTAAATGGACATGGGTTACATGGAATAGATCTGGAGTCCGGCTGGAACGTGCCCTGCTGACACGCGATGCACGGCTCCAATCCTGTGGTTGAGTGCGTACCAGGTTTACATGGCGCTAGAAGAGTAACAAAAATGAAAATACCAACTATTGAATAAGTTTCACTGCTATTTGTAAAAATATATCGATTTCCTTATATAATTTGCATTTTTTGTTTTGTTAAATTAAAAAAGAAAGTTAATAAATGACACTTTGATTTCATAGCAGTGGTCATGTGACATATCTTTATGGTAATGTGACATACCTCTGCATTCAGAGAGTTGTTTAGTTCTGCTTGTCAGTGTGTATGTATTAGCGGGGCATTTTTTGCAGCTTGTCTGGGCCTCTGTATCTTGATACGTATTGCTTGGACAATCCTTGCATGACTTAGTAGTAGCATCATAGAGCATCCCAACAGGACAACTAACTGTAAACAAGTAAGCAAATCGGGATGAATATTCATGACCCAAAGCACTTACATATAAATATTTATGAATATCTTCTTCTAAATCCATAACCAAGTGTTTTTTTTTTTTGTAAACAACTGACCATTTTGTTAAAAATATGATTGCATAAAAATTACATGAAAGTATATGTATGATGGAGACATGAATACTGTACATTATGAATATGCATGACTCTTAAAATCCATAACCTGTGAAAAACTAACCATAGTTATAATTATATACCTCATACATAGATTCTAAGCATCTGATTGGTTAGAAGCAGGGCAATAGAAAATACTATTATTATTATATTCAAAATATTGCAAGACGATGGGTGCTGTTGAAATTTAGGAAATATGCAAAGAAGTGCACACACACTCTTTGATTGCCTAAGGCCTAGGCCTGGCTAGTCAAGCAGTAAGAATCTATGTATGGGGTATAAATTCAAAGAACAGTGAAATTTATAACCCCTTGGTGATGTGGAGAAGTTACCTATAGGGAAGATAGGCTACAGTCTCCACATAACCTTGGGGCAATAGATTTTTCACCATTCCCCTCATGAGCAGTCAATATTTGTATACTATATGAATGCATACCAAGGATATAAATATGTATGTTGTGGACATCAATATGCATGATGAATATACATGAGTGTCTTCTATGCACACTCCTTCCCCACCATCCAACCATAAAGGTACTTGTGTTTCCCCAGTCGCCCCACCGTTGAAAATGTTTAAACCAAAAAAATCCAAGCTCAAGTAGATAAAATACACAATAATGTTAGTTTGTGATCTTGAGCCCCCCTCATTTAATTATTGAGCCCTCCAAATTTAACTTGCACCCCCACTTCACTTCGCACTCCCCGCCCCCTTATCAGCCTCCCCATTTCAAAACTCTTAGATACACCACTGCTTGCAACTATGTACAGGTTTGGTGACAACATGTGACATTTAATGACAGAATAAATGTCATATTTAAATATATGGAGTGAAGTTGAATAGTTTATTGGTTAAGATACTTGCCTTCTAATCCCAGGGTCCTGGGATCAATTCCTGTCACAGCAGCATTTTTTTTTTCTCACTACCAAAACAACTCCTCTCCCTAAGCCCCAATAAGAGACTTGTTTTATAAAGCATCATTCCATCCTGTAAGTGGCAAGTTTACTTGCTGTTGGATGTGAAGGAAATTTTTTTTAAATATACTAACCACAGCTCATGTTCCTTAAGACTTGGCCAATGTTGCATGAAATCTTGAAGTCTGATGTCACGATGTCTTGTGCAGGTTCCGGAACTAAAACCTCACCATTCACAGTTATAGACAGGTTACCAGAGTCAACTAACGTCTGTATAGTGGTGACGTACTGTTCCAAGGCCTGAGTCACGTCCATGTTGGTGTCTCCAGCAACGCCACCCGACATCATCTGTTGCTGTTACACCAAAAAAAAATGATAATTTTAATAGTTTGCAGAATTAAAATTAGGTAAGTTTAAACAAAAGGCAGTGGCTGGCTGTTACACTAGTCTTACATGAATTTATAATTCTGATAGGATGTTACTGTATGTGTCAATTGAATCAAAACAATAACATCCAACCAGAATCAAGAATTTGTTTAAGACTGGTGTAACAATAGCCATGACCTAAAGAATAAATTAAAATAAATCTTAAAGCTCAAAGATCAAGCCTCAAGTCATGTTAGATAGGACCAATCCATTATTTCATGAGGGGTATTTTTGTGCTTTTAATTTACAGCTCTGTACATCAAGCAGTATTACAATGCAGTCCATATGTTTTGCATAAACATACAGTATACTTGCAGAGTTGAGGTTGTCTGTAAAATTGTGGAAGAGCTTTTTTCTGAAAGAGTGTAGTCTGAACCTTAAAGTAGAGCACTCATTACGTTGTACTATGGTTGTACTCTGGTCGTGCGACCGTAAGCCGACGAATCCAACTTCGCTCCCAGATGAGACACAAGGAGCATGAAGATGGGATTGATCCAGGGACTAAAGTTCTGGAAAGATCTCCATGATTCAGCTTACACATAGTGTCTACCACTAGTTTATCCCCAAAGCTTTATATAAAACTTACCTGCACGGCAGATCCGCTGACCTTTGCTGTGGCGTTCACAGTAATCACGTACCGAAGGACTTGCCTTCTACGGCGATTAGTCTAGTACGAAATGTAGCAAAATGAAAGGTTGCATTGGCTGTATTTTGTAATATAATTTATAAATATATACTGTAAATATAAAATAACCATATAATTGTTAGTGAAAATTTTTTTTTTTTTAAAAGGCAGCCATCTTTTAAATTGCTGGCTATCCCCTTGTTTGTACATGAAAAAAAAAGAACATGTTGCACATACATTTTATATTCAGTGATATGTATTCTACAACATATCCAATTTTTACAAGATATAACAAAAAAAAAAGCAACCAACCTCGAATAGACCTCCAGAAACACCTTCTTTACCACAAAACACCTCCACATTTTCAACCTTACATGTATCTGGATCGTTGCACAGCCCCTTAAAAAAACCATTCAGGCCTTCAAACTTACGAACTAAATCTTGTTTGATTTCTAGTTCTCCTTCTTCACTGGAGCAACTGTCGGCGTAATACTGCACACTGAGATCAACATCAGCATTTGAAGGAACCATGCCTAAAGTATTTGTTGTTAGTAATTAAACAAAAATTAACATACATTTCCATGGTAACAACACAACCTTAGCTACATACAGTTGGGTGGGACAATTTATTTATATTTGTTTCGCTCCACCCAGTAGTATAAGAGGATTCCTTGTAGTAGAAATCAAATGTATCTATTATTTTTTTTTAATTTATTTATTAATCTTCATCATGCACTCACAACGAGCAAAAGTAATTCAATAACAAAACAGAAAGGAAGGGATGAACAGGTGTCAAGCACCTCTATCTACATCTCTCCTTAAACCAAATTTACACCGCATCTAACAAAAAAGAGATATAATAAAAATACAGTTCTCTCTCTAATCAGAGACCCCTCCTATTTAAGACCCCATTTCTCCTATTTCTATAATATTTTTTTCTGATTTCTTTAAAATTAATCTTTAAATGGATTGAGATCTGTAGTCCGGTGAGTGGGCCTGGGCTTTGACCATGGAAATTTTAAAATGCTTCCAGGACAAAATGCTATCTGTACGCTGTCGCAGTCCAAGAGAAAACGCTCTAAAAGAACCCAAAAATAATATTTCCATGACTACCCAACAGTCAACCTCTGTACAGCATATACTTTACTGCTGTCTGAGGCTTTCAAAAACTCCAGGCTGAAAAAAAAAGTTCTTACAAAATATATTCAAAAACTTATCATACAAAAGTTCATAGAAAAACATTTAATGACAAAATGTCCACCATTTTTTCAAAAATTGTCTTCAAACATCAATAGATTATCATAAATGAACAAATCAATTAACATTCCATCCAAAACGAAAATCTGGCAAAAAATTTCATCATAAAATTATCATAATATAAAAAAAAAGTTTACCTAAAACACTTCATCCAAGAAGAAAATCTGACAAAAAGTTTATAAAAAAATTATTATAAAAACAATAATATAAAAAAAAGCTTATCCCAAAAAAGTTCATCAAATATGTCATCCAAAAACATCATCTTAAATCTTTCTCACAAAAGGAACTAAAAATATATTTTTAAAATATAACTTACTTGAACAATCAGGCCACGGAACTTCGAACTCCAACCCTGGATCTCTAAAGGGATCTGGAAATTCAGACCAGGTTGGATCCCCATTGTCATCAGTTGTACAAAAGTAAAGTTTTTCAGGGGTGCGGGAAAAGTCGTAGCCTTGTTGGCAGGAGGCTGTGCAAAACTGACCTCCCAGCCAGGTTTCACAGCCGAGAGCTCCGTTAACAGGGGCAGGGTAAAATGGACATGCATATTCTGTAAAAATAATAAAGTTTGTTGTCAACCGAGCCTTGCATCTTTCTGTTTGTATTGGATTTAAATAATCCCACAACCCTCATTAAACCCGCGAATGAACATTTGAGGGTCGTCAGGTTGCATCTAGGTCTCAAAAATGTAATAACAGTAAAACTTCAGTGGATTCCTAAAACTTGTTATAAGGTAACTTAATAAAATGTGCACCAGAGGTGTATCCCGAGTTACCAGAGGTGTATCCCGAGTACAGATGCAGATACGGGCGGCAAAAGTAATACATAGTATTTAAATTATCGGCAGTACTTTTTTATATTCATTTCTAAAACTCTCAAAACTCAACTTTTTTAATTATCTTCTTTTAACATAGCTGTGAGACCATCATTTTTTTTAGAGCGCTTAATAAATATTAAAAATTATTAATATCATTATTAAGGGGTGGGGTAACTAGGGTATTTTAGGTCTTAGGGGGAAAAAATTGCCGACCATAGCTCTAAATATTCTATCCATCTCACTAGTTCCAGCTAACCCATCCCACATCTCTTTCAATTTCATCAATTTCACAAGCACTTCCACTATACAGCTAATATTAAATTGCAAAAATCCCATATATTGTTGAAATCAATCCCATAAGTCCATCTACTTAGCTAATTATTTACAACCCTATATTAGCAATCAATCCCACAATCCTCCTTAATTACTTACAACCCTCCAACTAGTCAAGGTTAAAAACCCTCAGTGTTGAATCCAGAAATTTAAACTTGAGTGGGAGGGGAGAGGGGCTCTGAAAGTGATTTTAAACTGTAAAGAGAGTCCAAAAGTAAATGTTAAGGCTATGGCACCTCTATGGGTTGAAATATGGTACTCTCAAATTTAAAATTGAATGTAAATTTTTTTTTTTCCACCCATATTTTTATAATTTAAAATATTAGATGCCCTGGGCTTGATATGGACCTATGGCCGATCTCTGAGCTCACTTGAATCTGACTCTTATTCTTTTATACCAAATCTTCCAACCTTCTGTACTTAGCATTTCAACCACACAATTCCAATTTAATCCCTCTTGCTTACTCACGTTTCACTTGGACGAAAAACGAACAGACTTCCAAGTTGCCAGCGTCATCTCGGCCTTCAATTCTTACTTGCTCTTTTTCTCCCCAGTAAAATAAATCTCCAGACAGCCTTGTATGGGTGAGAATCACGTCCTGACCTGAATTGTCAATGAACACTGGGTCAGGCCACGTCACTTTTGTACTTCTCTCACTACTTTCCTTTGTGATGTCAGCAGGGCATGATTCAAGCCTCGGTTCCTCTACATCTTTTAATGTAAAAATAAAAAAGTATATATAATAAAATAATAATTAGTTCATTTCTCTTTTTTTGGGCCTGGACTTTAATAGATAACTAGAGCACAGAACAGATACTATCAATAAGATTATAAACAATCAAAGTATCAATAATAATTTATTATCTAACAAGGAAAATTTGTAGGAAGGAAACTCTGCTATGCATTCTATCCTTCCTAATCAATGCAATATGCGAGTCTCATGGTTAGAAATTCAAAAATCGAGTTTATATTATATGTGGGTAGATCACATTATAAGCTTTCATTTGGTATTTCAATGGCTTCCCTACTATAAGTAAATCCAGAGATGTGAGCATTTAAAGTTTAGGTGTATAAGAACCATGTTTTGAGAAAATTGGCCTCATATATAAACTAACCTGTACAAATAATATGACTAGAATTTATACAGAATATGTGCAGAGAACACTTTTTTGGCAAGAAAATTCACTTACAAAGTATACAGTCATAAAATATAAGTATCAAGTTTTCAAAAACATTAAAATCAAAATTTTGTAAAAATGTTCAGTTCGGCCTGTTTTGGTGAATATCTCAATATGGTTTCACTAATGATGCGTCTCATTTCGTGGTGAGACCTCACATATGTTTATTCCCAATTGCTCTATTCACAATTACCTCACTCGATCTAGAACTCCTATTCACATACCTACCCATAACACTTTTCAACATAATATTTTGTACTCCGGCCCTACAATGATGAACAACCTTACGCCCCCAATCATTATACTTGGTCATGATTTGATATGTACTGTCCGTCTGTTCATCCATTTCTTTGTTTGTTTATTTATCCATTTATTTATCTCCTTTTGTGATTATTTGACTTTTTCTTTTATTTGTTTATTAGTTTTATCACCATTTATTTTTTTTTATTATCATTTTCTTTATCTATTTATTTGTTTGTTTTGGCATTCTCAAGGTGTTGCCATCTTCTAAAGCTTATTTATTTTGTTCTTTTAAATCACGTCTTATTGTATATTTATGTTTGTACTATGGAAGCGAATAATGTCTTGAATGAATGAAAAGATTTTAAATTCCTATGTTTCATTAGGTTCTTTTCGAAATAACAAAATATCTCACCTCGAACGGTCACAGTGAACGTACACGGCTGCGACTTTAACTGATTGACGTCAGTAGCTACGTATTTCACATCTGTATTACCGATTTCAAATGAATCGCCAGGATTGAAGTTGGACGTAAGAATGGGATCAAGACCAGAGTTGTCAGACGCTGACGGGGGAATCCACATCACCGAAGCTGAGCTCAATCCAGGGTCATTGCCCAGTTCTATATTCTCAGGACAGTCATTCAACTCAGGAGGGGTTACATCTATGGAAAGATATTAATTAAAGTACCTTGAGTAGAATTAATTGTTGAGGGCACATTTGGTTGAAAAACACTATTACATTCTAATTCTAAAAATACATGCTAAGGGCACAGTTATGATACATATATACTGTATTCGAAAGGCACACAATAAAATGCAAAATACTGGTATGCTTGTATCAGAATATAAATACATATTAAGGGCACAGTATGATGAAAAATACTAAATACTATACTTAAATTTGGGCTATTAAATATATAGATAAAATTTATAAAATACTGTTATGCTTGTATTAAAATATGAATACACAATTTAGGGCACATTATAATGAAAAATACTAAGTAGTTTACTTAAATTTGGGCTTTCAAATAATATAGAACTAATGCCAACCAAGAAATCAAAAAAAAAAAAATATTTGGTATTTAATAGAAAATAAAATGCTTTCATGCTCCTTTTACATTTTTTTTTAAAGAAACAGGTTCACTGAACAAGATAGAAAAAATGTATGAGTGATACATCACCAGCATATAATACAGGTCTCTCTCTAATTAACAATCACCTCTTATTCCCTCTAATTAAAGACCAAAGCTAAAGACCATGGAAATCCCAGTCTCAAAAGTGGTCTCTAATTGGAGGGAAACAATTGTATATGGAGACTCTTGATTTCTTGCTGGAGTGCGGGTGGCTGTCTCGGTTCCCGGGAGACCCCCGTGACTCGTCAGAATTCCATTTCTACATACCCTCACACTGCACTTCATTATCTTGGCCAGACCATCTTGTATCTGCCTGGCAGGTTGTTACATCAGTGCCTTTAAGCGTATAACCAGCTTGGCATCGATATGTGCAATGGAATTGGTACTTCTGTGGTTTGCTTTGACATTGCGAAGGACTCACTTCAACATTTGCAATCACAGGCAGTGGTGGGCATTCCTTTGCTACCAAGAAATAATTAAAAAAAGAAATATCCTAAAAAAATTGTCATATTTAATTTTTTCTTGAAGTACATAAACATTTTTTCCCCTTTAAAATATAATAGTATTAAAATTCTTCTTTACTACATTTGAAAGAGAATATACAAATATGAGACTTGGAGATGGGAAGAAAACTCTGCAGTCAAGGATCTACAAATTCAAAATATAGGGGGCGGCCCAGGTAGAGACTTTCAGAGTTGGAAGGTCTAGACCACCAACCAACTCACCATTGTTGTGGCTGAGGGTAAAATCATATGATTATGGCACCTCTCGAAGGTGTAAAACTCACACTTAATAAATTTTAACACAAGTTTCTTTTTTATCTCCAATTGTTTTTTAGAAAAATTTATGGGCCCCAGACCAACTGGCGATGCCCTCTTTTACCCTTCCCTAAATCCGCCCCTGACTACTGTGGAATGAACTTACTGTACCTTGGCATATCAGCTCATTCCCTGACCAAGTCCCGGTGTTGTCTTTCGCTAGAATGCAGGTTCGTGTACTATCTCCGTCTAGTTCATAGCCCTCATTGCAATTCGTTTGACAAGTTGTCTCTATCTCATAGGATGTTGAAGAGCAGTCACGCCGTCCATTTCCAGGAATTGGGAGTGCCTCACATGTTATTTCTAAAAAGTTAAACAAACAAAATAATTGCACATTATCAATCAACTATGCTCGCCTATGGTTCTGGTGGTAGAACAAGTCTTCTCGGATAAGGACTATAAACCGTAGGCCCAGTGTATACAATGGCTCGTGCGCACTATAAAGAACCCAGTACATCCTTCGAGACGAGTAGGGGGATACCTCGGTGTACTGGAACAGACAGCCCCTATGGTGGACTACAAGAGTTGCTGGTACCGGGTTACCGGGTAACACAGACACGAAAGGACCCTTAGGGGCGAAGAAAGTTATTGATCGAGTTCCTAGTCCACAATTTAAGCCAAAGTCAGTCCGCCGGACTACTTTTGGCCGCTAAAATCGGTCCACTGGGTTGATTTTAGCCGCTAAAATTGGTCCCCATTGGATAAAATTGATTCATCGGCCTGGCCACTTGTAACGCGTCTGCTGACCGTAGGGTTGGATTGTATCTCCAGTGGATGGAGTGGAAGGAAGTAATTTATGCTTCTCAGATTACACTTGAAAAATCTTTTGCAGTTACAGAATGATTCGTATTAATTGCTTTTGTGGACCCCGTTGTGGACGTGTTTTATCAAACCATGAAGGAAATATATTATCCTAGGTCTTGTCGACACACAGCATGCACCATTTTCGGCGGCCGTGCTTGGCCTAGGTTTGGGTCTAAAATGAAACACAAGTCTGATTTATTAGTTTAAATATTCCATATTGTTTTGTGGGATAATAAGTCATACAATACCGTAGTTGTTCTATTACATGAAAATAAATTGGTCAATCATTTCTTTAAAATAATAGCTCATGTATTTCGTTGCGGCGTTATAAGCAAGCACACAGAACAAAACAAGGTAAAAACTAAACTAAAGCGGACCAATGACCATATCGTTTAACTTCTTTTCTAACTTTACACCAAGTTTAATGGGCGTGAAGTGCGAAAATAACATAAGGCCTACTCATTTTTGTGGCTGATACTCAATTGCACACACAATGAATGAAAAATTATTATATAGAAAGAGATAAGATATTTATCTATCATTTGATTAAAAACCAATATGAACAACGATTAAAAAAAAATACAGGTTAAACTACTAAATAGATGCCGGACCGATTTTGGCTTAGGTGGACTGCATTTGGCGCCGGACCAAATTTTTCCTGACACTTCCTGAAAATAAAATAAATAAATAAATAGGCCTAGGCCTCCTGCTAGAGACTAGGTCAAGGTACAGTATAACAACTCCCTGGTCTAGGCAATACCAAAGTCTAGGCCCCTAGGCTATGCCTATAGGGTCTAGGGTATGCCTAGCCCTGCCTATAGGGTCTAGGGTATGCCTAGCCCTACCTAGGACTAGGCTAGGCCTCCTCCTTCCTGGACCTAGGCCTAGGGCCTACCATCTGATTGACTGATCGACACACATGGAAATAACAAAAATGATTAGCATGTACTTACTGGTGCATTGCAATGGACTGGCAGACCAAACACCACTACTAAGACACGTAACTTCCGTTTCAGTTCCAGTATTCTGTCTATAACCAGCTTGGCATAAAAACCAGCATGTTGTGCCCAGAACGTTGTCGCAATCAGCTGGAATCTTGTGCACTCCAGGGCTGTTAGCTAGCTGTTCGCATCTGATAGCTAGGCCGTGAAAAAAAAACAGAGACATAAAATAAATAAGATTAAGAAAAGTCCTTGTGTTTTTGCTTGGCTTGGTTATCAAAGCTTACTTGCCTAGCCTATCTATCAGTTTATTAACAAACGCGCGTAAAACAAAACTTACATACATAACTGTTTTGAATTTCCCACCACAACCACACCATACCATTATCACCGCTGTTCTAAACTTGGTGTCCCGCACTCCGTGACAGAAGATGACCCATGTCAATCATTATAACTAATTTACATAACGACCGCCCAGATAGGCGGTGTTCCCCTTCTTCGCGATGTGCATGGCCTAGGCTAGGCCTAATTATACTCGGTGTATTCTCGTATTTTACGGTTGTACTTAGTCCAACTAGGCCTGCCCCTTTTTAGTAGGCCTACAATAATGTTAATGTGTATTCTAGCCAGGCTTGATAAGGCCCAATAAAGAAAATTAATTGTTATCACCCCCGCGCGCATGTCTTCTATACACCATTTTATTTGGCCTAATTTGAAACAGCGCCGCCAACGTCAGGAATACGATCTTTTATGCTTGGGGTACAACGATCGCGACCTCGCTATATTTATCCTATTGATTGATTACATCGTAGTTAATACTTACAGCTCCAAAATCTTATTATACAGTATATTATCATATTTTGCTTATTATTGTCCTATATATACATTTATTAATTATCTTAAGTGTGTATGATGGTGGACATTTGGGAAGAAGACGTTCGTGAGTGGCCTGTTTTAAGCTTTAATGGTAAGATTTTTAGGCTGATAATTTCGTTTTGTGATGGCCTCCCACGTGAGTCACGTAGCGGTAAAAGTAGCGTTTGTCCAGCTAGCTGTGCTTGTTGAATATGCATCGTTAAGCCGACCCTGGCCTGGCTTCTCCAGATTCGGCTCAGTTTATGAATAGTTTATTATAACTTCACTGGGTTATATTTTACTACAGTTGCAAATATTGTTGGTGGAAAATATAGCCGTATGTATATATATATATATATAGGCCTAGGCCTATTCAAACTTTATTTCAAAAATAAAAAACAATAAATATACAATTTCTGTTCTTGTGACGGGGCCCTAGGCCTATATATGTTGCATGGTATAAATAACCGCTAGGCCCCTATACATAATTAAATGAATGAATGGTAATCCATATTTTTAAAAATTGATCTTGATCTTAAACAGATACAAATTATTTATTTTTATTTACTTATTTGAATAATATAGTAATTTTTTTTTTTTGCATTTATTTTCAGATATAACTGATTATTTTGTTAATGCCCCTGCATGTGATGATCAGCCAAATCATAACTACAGAAGTATTCTTGAAGGACAAAATTACTTCAACTCTAACTGGATCGACACAGTGTACCACAAGTACATATCTGTACAGTGCCGGATCATTGATCTAAAGTCCAAAGTCCGTTACTCTCAAACTATCGGAAGGGAACATGATGTTCAGATTACAGTCAATAAAGATGCCAACCAAATTATTGATGTGGACTGTGACTGTATTGCTGCAAGAGGCAAGTGTTGCAGTCATACTGCTGGCTTAGCCTT